GAGGCAGCCTTTACCACTAGCAAGAGTCTTAGTAGCTGTGCCCCAGTATTTAGTTACTATGATCCAATTCTACCTTTGGAGGTACAGTGTGACAGCAGCCAAAGCGGAATAGGTGCGTTCTACTGCACTATGGTAAACCCTTGGATTTCCGCAGTCAGGCGCTCACAATGGCGGAACAGCGTAATGCGCAGATCGAAAAGGAGATGCCCGCTGTCGTCTACGCAATGGTGTGATTCAACGACTACACATTTGAAAGGAAGACCAGAGTGTATGCTGACCGTAAACCTGTTAATGTCTAGTAAACATTCACACAGTGTCCCGAAACGTCTTCAACAGATGGTTATCCGGCTACAAAAATACGACATGGATCTGGTGTACACTCCGGGGACGCAAATGTTCGTTGCGGACGCTCTGTCGAGAGCTCCTCTTCCGATAGTCAAAGACCAACAGGAAGAACTCGAGGCAGTAAATGTGGTACAACATCTGGTGGAAACAGAAGATCGCCTGAAAGATAAAGAGTTATACGGAGGCAGACACGACGTGCGGGGCATTGCGTGACGTGATGTTGAGAGGATGGCCATATACAAGGGATAAACTTCCGGATGAATTAACGCCGGTCTTCAACTTTCAGAATGAATTAACGGTGTATGATGGTTTGCTGTTTAAAGCAAATCGCATTTTTATCCCACCGCCACTTCTCAAAGAAATGCTAAAACACACTCATCGAGCTCACTTGGGTGTCAACTACAGGATGACAAGTCAAATCCAGGACGAGGTATCAACCTGTTCAGCCTACCATTCTCACGAGGCTTGCTAACCCAGGGAACCAGTGATGTTGCGTAGGATTCCAGATGGACCATGTCAGAAAGTAGCGGTGGACTTGTTCTGTGACAATGGGAAGGGCTAGTTACTCACTGTGGACTAGTACAGTGACTATTTTGAGATCCATCCACTCACCGCTACCTCCACGAAAGCAATCATTAACAAGCTTAGATGTCAGTTCGCCAGACACGAAATACCGGAGGAACTGATCACCAACAATGGCTCGCAAATTACAAGTGCTGCGTTCCCGACCTTTGTGAACAAGTGGGAATTTTTGTATCCACATACCATCCCGTAACACCAGTCTAAGGAAAAAGCAGGTGCAGTAGTCAAACAGGCCAAGAGGCTGTTGTCGAAAGCCAGAGCTACTCATGACGACACGTAGCTGATCTGGTTGGAGATTCGCAATATGTCATTACGGAACATCACTCACAGTCCAGTGCAAGTTTTGTACAGCAGAGGGACAAGAACTCTAAGGCCTAACTCTTAAACCCTGTCTCGCCATCACATGCGCAACTGCAAAGGGGTTTAAGAAGACGGATGGCAGATCCAAAACGATATTACGACCGCGGGACCCGGGCGCTACCGGATCTCTCGGTATATGATGTAGTATGGATTCAACCAATACCGTGTGTCAAGTAAAGATGGGAGAAAGGTCTGGTGACCGCGAATATTTGAGAAATATCTTATGAAGTCAGTACCGGAGGGATGGTAATCAGAAGGAACCGAGTGCAGCTGAGGCGACTCCTAGGGAACGGGAAGGTGAATCTGTAGCAAAGCACTTGACACCTTACGGAGAGTTCACAATGACTGAGGCAGCAAATAAGACGCGGAGAGGAAGAGCGTACGGGGTCTCCTGCAACGCCGATGCAACGGATCCCGCAAGTGGGAAGATTGTGATAGGATTGAATAAGCAAGAGGCCAGCGTACCGCAAGCGAACAGAGCAGTTATTTGGACACCTGCGCATAAACCGTCTACGCGCTGATTGGTTTAACAGATTCAGAGAAAGAATCTCATGAGTACAGCAGCGTCGTTAGTTTTGGAAATGTCAGATATTTATATCGAGGTTCGTACACGCTTGTCAAGCTGTTGGTTTTGCTGAGGTCGATGTAGCCGAATAGACTGTCAGTTCCTGAAGGACCGAGTTCTGCGGCACAAGCAGACTTACTTTGGTACAATATTGCTGTCTTTGCTACTCATTACATTTTGTGTATGCTGAAGGCATGGACGTAACATTCGAATATCCACCACCTGGTGCATGAAACGCTCTCTTGCTTTGAATTGAAAAGAAATCGTTGACACTTCCGAACACGGTACAATTTACCACCAGTAAAAGCCGCCTATGAAACCAAGTAGTAGCTTCAATCCGTGATACAAACGTTTGTACCAAACCAGGTTGGAGCAAGCTGACAATAAAGTTGGTGCCGCATCAGTCCGTCTCTGGATTTTGAGCACGCATTAGCAAAAATAATCACCATCCGAAAACTTTCAACTAAACGTTAATTAATCTTTTTCTTTATTAAAAATGAACTGAGCGTAGTGAATAAACAATTTCAGTTGATCGCTGGTTTTTCTTCTCACGTGCAGAGAATTGCTATTTCAGGACTGGCACGAATGTCCGATGAGTGTCTGGTAGATACCCGATAAAAGCTCGAAAAAAGTCCGAATGACACGAAGTTCGAGCGCTCCGTATAATATTGTGTAACTATTTTCCATTAGTTTTAACGCAATTCGACGATCACTGTATGGTTGCGCACGGACAACCTCCTGGACGTTATAAATTAATCCTCTGTATGGAAGAGTTGTGTTCGATGCTAAACTCCGTAATTTAGTCCCATTTGGGAAGGTTCATGAGACTTCAGTTAGTTGGAAGTGCCCCGACTATGTGCTTACATCTCATTAGTCTGCGGTGTGTGCAATGGTCAGTGCTAATCCGTACCGGCGTCTAACGCCTGTTACTTATAGAAATAAACAAGTGTTTGCATAAGTACCGTGATGCGTGCAGGGTCACATTTTCCGTCGCCTGGTTGCATGAATGATAAATGTTAAGCAGAAGCAGTGCACTCACCCACATGCTGGTCATGGTGAAACAGTGAACTCTGGAAACACAGATGCTTCTGCCTATGACTGGACTAGGGGCATAGAGCTAGACAGCATAGGTACGCCAGCCTCTGGGTTCTATCGGATATCAATTTCGTGGCTTCATAAGTGGAGCTTCATTAGTTTGTTTCGATAACACAACGCACGGTAAGGGCACCATTTAATTTGTCTAAAGCCAGTTTGACACAGAAGAAGCGGAAGCATTGCTACTAGAGAGCGCCGTCAGCACTAATTATCCAAAAGGGTGATAAAAGCTTGATGAGATGCTTAACTAAGATTGCAATGTGATATCTTATGTAGTTTGCCTAATGTGCTGCTATCTACTCACATCTGAGCCAACTTTGGAATAAAAAAGCACGGTAGACAGACATGGGACCATTGTTCCGTCTTTGATTACAACATAGTTTCTGCATTCCTTCCACACACACACACACACACACACACACACACACACCTATTCCCACTAGGTTTACGACAGCTGATAGCCTATAAACATCGTCCACACTTCTCCGTATGAACTACATTTTCTTAGGTGTAATGCAGTATCTAAGTCCTGAGTAATCGCTTATTGATGACACTGCTTTAGCAAAAACCAGCTTATCAAAACTAGGTAAACGACTCCATTGATTGTAATCGCTTGTCGTAATGTTCGTTACAAGCTAAGCGTACAGTTTGCTGTAGTCCTGTGTAGATGACTTACGTTCAGATCGATTTCACAATGAGCCAGAGTTAGTGGTACGAAATGGCAAATTTGTTTATCTCTGGGAATGAATCACAGTTCGTCACCATTCGGGCTGTTGCCATTTTTTGAACAGAAACACACAAAGCAACGTCCAAGGACTCAGGATGCTTACGGAGGTATTATTGTGGCAAGCATCAACAACCAGATGCATAAACTCTGATCAGCAGAAGTTCAATTCATTTTCGAAATCTATTGTGTGCTTGCGCTGCGCGCAGTGCTGCCGCACACACATTTGCGGCTCTCAAGCGTGGTGCATTTGTTTAGATGCTGGGCTTTTCAAGTGTTGGCCCATCACCGTCCGGTTTCCGTTTACTTTTATACTACTGCCACACGGCACAGTAGTGACGTACCGCAAGCGAAGGTTACTTCTAAGTTGTGGGCTCCCATGCTCTCCTGAGCGACACGGAGCAGGTAACCTGAGTAGCTTAGTAGCGGTTAACTTTCGCTGCCGAGTTGAAAGAAGTGGCCTCTAATATTCCGAGAAAAATTTTCAATCAAGCTGGAGGCGAAGAATGCCTAATTTTAGGGGTCACAGACCAGTACCGGAAGTCGAGGTTATAGCGCATTAAAATCAAGTAAGCATTAAGGTGCATAGACTTTATTAATCTCTATAATCAAATTACATCTAGTACACATGCATACATAATTCCGCGTTAAAATTGCGACCGTCTATGTTACAAAAAGAGACGGAGACAACAAGGACGAAGACATGAGTATTAATCATTACAACTATCATAAGAAAAAAATAAAAGTAAAATATTAACAATATTGTCCTATATAGCATCATCAGAATAGCCGTCACACGCCCGGAAACGCAGTGTACGTGTGTTTCATCCTTTCGTGATTCGCCACCAGTGCGCACTCCATTGGAACCTGGTAGGGTTCGAACCCGCAACTCGACTGTTGCCAGTGGACTGTTGCCACGGTGGACGGCAAGGACCATCGTACATAAGTTACTAGATGTGATACAGCGCCCCTCACTATCCACTGACTTACATGTTTCTGCCTTGAGAAGATCACGGTACCCCATCACCAAGCGACCAGCTTACCAAAATTAAGCAGCCAATTAACTTATGGCATTATAAGCAGTTTGGTCTGAGTCACCATCATCATCATCATCATACATGTTAGCTAGAGGTGGGGAACACCTCAGCTACTGTGCTGCAATACATATAAAAAAGGAGAGAAAAAAAGCAACTGGTACAAGCTGGCTGAGCTACAGATAACCGGATGGGTATCGTTCCGGTAAACTACCAGCCAGGTGCTGTGCACCCAAAAAATTACTATGCAAAATTATATGAGGCTAAGTAACGAGATCGTGGTTAGAGGGGGAGGCTAAGAGGATGGGGTGGGACAAAGAAACTCATAGCACGAACGCCACTGAGGTCGGCTCCTTGCCATGTCAGCAAGTGTGTCCAACCAAACATGTTCATCGTCTTTCGGACCCCAACCAGGGAGCCGAGACGCTCTAACCGAGGACAGCTCAGAAGTGAGAGCCTTCATTCCTCTCGACCAATTCAACGCTTGGCCACCCCTACTCTTCTTCCATCCACACCCCCGTCCCGCAAACAACGCACGTCGCGCGAGTCGGTGGGCTGGCATGCGTAACACGTGGCCGAGCCATCGGAGCCTGATGCGTGAAATAACGGTGCTGAGCGGTTCATTTCCTTTTCCTGTGCCGTAAACGAGGCGCCGAATACGCTCGTTGCTCACGCGGTGTTCCCACCAGATGTGAGCTAAATTACGAAGGCACCGGTGGTCGAACGTAACTAGCCTCTTCAGGTCCGCTGCTTTAAGTGGCCAGGTTTCACAACCGTACAGTAGGATCGAACGTACTGCTGCATTGTACACTCTACCCTTCAGGGCAAGAGTGATGTCGCGCCGGCGCCACAAGTGTCGAAGGTTAGCAAAAGCGCCCCGAGCTTTTGCTATACGATTCGTTCTCATCCTCAATCCACTGGCGCTTATACAACTTCCCAGGTAGCTGAATTTTTGAACGACTTCTAGCTGATCACCACCAAGGGTCAGCGTAGGAGGCGGTCCAGACCAATCTTGGAGGAACGCTTTGCACTTCGAGGGTGCGAAACAAAGCCCGAATTGACGGACAGCTAGTGCTAATCTGTCCAGTGCCGCTTGGCACGTTTGTGAGCTCTCACAGGTCAGGGCAATATCATCAGCATACTCTAAGTCAAGAAGTCGTTCTCCTGGGAGCAGATCCACCCCTTCAAAGTCGTGTCTTGTGAACGCGATTTCCATGACTTTGTCAACAGCGAAGTTGAAGAGGAAAGGTGACAGCGGGCATCCTTGTCTCACGCAGCTGGAGATAATAAAGGGCGACGACAACTTGCCGTAAGCCCTCACTCTGCGCGTGCTACGAGCATATAATGCTCGGATAATATTTACATATTTCTCAAGCACATCTTTCCTGAGTAGACTGTCCCAAAGTGCACGTCTATCCACCGAATCGAATGCACCTTTGATATCGAGGAACACGACTACGGTGGGCCGCCAATATATGTGAAGGTACTCCAACAACTGACGCACGGTGAAGATGTGGTCAATGTAGCCACGACCTCGACGAAATCCAGCTTGCTCTTCACGAATCTGGCTTTCACGAGTGCCAGTCAGTCGGTGAATGATGACAGAGGTAAGCAATTTTGAGGCAATGGAGATCAGACTGATTCCTCTATGGCTGCCGCATTCCGATCGTGAGCCTCCTTTGAAAACTGGGACTATGACGGAGCGGCTCCAATCGGTTGGGACAGTTTCCTGCTCCCACAGTCTCACTAGCAACTCGTGTAAATCATCCACAAGAGCAGGTCCCCCGAATTTGAAGAGGGCTGGAGGAAGGTCATCAGGTCCCGCGGCTTTGTTTAACTTCAACAGTTTGATCTCATGTTCGACTTCTGAGCGAGAGGGTGGATCCAAAGGGGCAGCCCAGGGAGTGGGGCGATCAGTGGCCGGCGAGAAATCTAACCATTCCGACCGATTAAATTGCCATTTAAAGTGCTCAGTCCAACGCTATAAGCATTTTGGTAAGTTGTGGATAGGCTGTCTACTCCCGTCGCCGATAGTTTCACTAACACCAGGTCTCCTGCTGCCCGTTTCCCGTATCAGACGGAATAACTCACGATGGTTACGAAGGGCAGCGGCCATTTCCATCTCTGATGCACGATGAGACCACCAGGATTCGCGGTCTCTCTTCAGGCTAGCACGGACTTTTACCCGGAGCTCTTTGCGAGTTTCATTGTGTTCGCTTCTAGCCGGAATATGCCGGCGAGCATCTATAAATTCCAGAGATTGTGAAGAGACCCAATGTCCTTGTTGGCGATTAGACACACCACATGAGGATTTTGCTGCTGCTAATAACATTTGGTGAATATGAGACCAGTGCGCTTCAATTGCATCCAGTGAGCGTTTATCCAACTCGCATGGCAGCGTACTTTGATAGGCATTCAGAACAGCTGGCTTCTCCAGTTGGCCGGTGTCAATGCGCTCACAAAATCCTCGTGGGCGTCCGCTAAAGCGCATCCGCAGGTCAGCACACACAAGTGCGTGGTCGGTGTCTACACCTGTGCTCCAAATCGAGCGACAGTTCTGGACGCAGCCTCTCCAGCGGTAGCTTATCGCAATGTAATCGATTTGCGTCCATAACTGGTTCGAGGCGCCAAGTCAACCTCCGGCAGGTGCTGTGTCGGAAATTAGTGCTCGCAAGAATTAAGCGAGCATCTTCACACAAATGAAGTAACCGCTCACCGTTATCATTACGGGAGCCTATACCATGTTGGCCGCCCAGATGCAGCTCATCTGTGGATAATTTTCCAACTTGAGCATTCAGATCCCCAGCCAGCACTACAGTGTCAGAGCTTCTTCTGTGGCTAAGGAGCTGGATCAGTTGACGATAGAAGTCGTCTTTAACCGAGTCATCGCTACAGTTTTTCTGTGCATAGGCAACGATAACGAATAGACATCTATTAGTGCCGCGCGACTTCGAAGCTTTAAACGAGCCAGCCAATCGGACCGCACACATACGGCTACTGATTGGCATCCAATCAACCAGAGTAGCTTCAGCCCGGGGACTCAGGGCAATACCAACACTGGCTTGGCCGGTGCTCGAAGCTGCTTCGTCACCGGATAGGCGCAATGAGAAAACACTGCTTGCGTCACCTGAAAGGGATCGCAGAATAAGTACAGAGCTCGAGTCTTGCAGGCGGGTCTCCGATAAGCAGCAGATATCGATCGAGAGGGTCTCTAATGTTCGGGCAAGTGCTGCCTGTGTAGCAACCCAAAAGATATTTCTTGTTTTTTGTACACTTTTATTACTCAGTCATAAAATATTGCTTTTTGTTTTAATGCCGACTCTACGGCCATTATGAACTGCATCCGGCTCACCACTTTTCTCCACGGTGAGTTCCGGCACTGACGTACGCTCTCGTCGCTTCATTCGTTTTTCGTTCGATTGTAGCCTTCCGCGAATACAATCCGTTGTGTCCGTCTTTCTGGTTTTCTGACATCCCTACCAGCGCGAGAACACTCTCGGACTAGTATAGACTAGTCCTACAAATTGGTGACCCCGATTCGCACGCGCGAATCTTCAATTTTTTTGATCGTCTCGTTTTCGGTGAGTTCGTTCCGAGTTGTTTTATTTTTTTTCCATAATCCCTGGTGGATTGTTTTCCGTCCATTTCGTTTTTAAAACCATTCGTGTTATTCATATACTATGTCTGACGCCGATGTAAAACCCGGATCGGGCGGCAGCATGAATTTGCTCACCTTGGCTGTTCCGGATTTTATGGCACACAAGCCCAACGTCTGGTTCGCCATTTTTGAGATAGAGTTAGAGAACAGAGGGATCTCTTCCGACCAAGCTAAATACAACCAACTCGTCCCACGCCTTCCGCAACAGGTGGTGACATTGGTCGAAGACGTACTGCTTCATCCACCTAAAGACGGTAAATACGAAGCAATGAAGCAGTTGATTCTAAAGGAGTCGCAACCCAGCGCTCGTGCTCGATTGGAGCAACTCTTTCATAGCACTAAGCTAGGCGATCGCAAGCCTTCGGTTTTGCTCCGCGATATTCAACAGATTGCTGGCCCTTCTTACATGAGTGAAGAAGCATTAAAAGAACTGTGGCTCTCACGCTTACCTGATCCTCTTCCTTTAATGCTCGTAGCAAATCCAAATAGATCACTCAAAGAGTTGGCCATAACCGCGGACGCAGCCTTTGAGAGAATCCCTCAAAACATGAAGGCATCCAGCAGCATTTTCGTCACATTAGCGGATAAAGACTTGAATGCAAAAGCGCCCGCGCAAGCAGACCCCAGAGACGAAGAGATAGCCGCGCTTCGCCGTGAATTAGCAACCGTGCAGTTAGAAAGACAAGGCTTGCTAAGACCGCACGCTGACCACGAAATTGCCGCCGTTCGTCAAGGTGCCTATCAGCCCCGACCCCCACCGTACAGATCCAGGTCACCGCGCAGACGCAGTCCATCACCCCCTCGCAGCCGAACCCGAAGTGCCAATTTAATCGATGATTTGTGTTGGTATCATCGCCAGTATGGTGATAACGCTCGACGTTGCCGTTCACCCTGCGCCAAGCGTGGTGTAGTGGCACAGGGAAACTAGTTCGCCGGCACGTGAATGCGGCCCACGCGTCCGGCAGCGACAAAACAGGCCGTCTGTTTTACGTCAAGGATAGGCGCTCCCGCCTCACTTTCCTTATCGACACAGGAGCCGAAGTGAGCGTTATCCCTGCCAGCGCGCATGACAAGCATACAAAGCCCACGTACAATTTACGGGCAGCCAACGGCTCGCCGATAGCTTCATACGGTCAGCGCATGATGAACCTAGATTTAAATCTCCGCAGAGACTTTTACTGGGTTTTCACGGTTGCGTCAGTACCTTTCGCAATTATCGGCATCGATTTTCTTCGCCATTTCGGATTGCTTGTCGACGCGGGTCGCAACAGAATTTTAGATGATCATACGAAACTAAGGGTTGATGGTGTCCTTTCAGATGCCCCGATAATCAGCCCTGTATTTCGGATCGCAGACGCACCGTCCGACTACTTGAGCCTCCTCTCCGAACACCCGCGACTGGTTCGACCGGCTGCAGAGCTTCCACCAGTCACGACAGAGGTCGCTCACCACATAGTTACGCGCGGTCAACCAGTTAGCGCACGACCAAGACGGCTTGCTCCAGACAAACTACGGGCAGCACGAGCCGAATTTGACCACATGCTTCAACTTGGTATCGTGAGACCGTCCAACAGCCCATGGGCGTCGCCTCTGCACATGGTCCCGAAGAAGATTGTGGGGGACTGGCGTCCTTGCGGCGACTACCGATCCTTGAATACGGTGACCACACCCGATCGCTATCCGATCCCACACATAGTGGATCTCACCGCCAGTCTGGCGGGTAAAAGTATCTTCAGCAAAGTCGACTTGGTACGCGCATACAACCAAATTCCGGTAGCCGAAGCGGACATCGCTAAAACTGCCGTGACGACTCCATTTGGTTTGTTCGAGTTTCTGCGTATGCCATTTGGCCTAAAGAACGCCGCGCAAACTTTTCAGCGTTTCATCGACCAAGTTTGTCGCGGTTTAGACTTCGCTTACGCTTATCTTGACGACATTTTAATCGCAAGCTCTTCGCGAGAAGAGCACATACGCCACGTACGAACACTTTTTGATCGTTTATCTCAACACGGGGTGACGATCAACGCAGAAATGTGTTCGTTTGGTGTCGATTCAGTTAATTTCCTGGGCCATCGTATCTCTTCTGCAGGCGTCGTGCCACTGCAGGATAAAATTCAAGCCATTATCGACTACCCCGAGCCTCATTCTTTCAAACAGCTCAGGCGTTTTGATGGCCTGGTCAACTTTTACCGTCGATTTATACCCAACTGCGCCTCTCTGATGCAACCCCTCACGGACCTTCTCCGAGGGAAACTCAAGACGTTCGAATTTCCTACCGCAGCACGCGCTGCTTTTAAGTCGCTGAAAGAGGCTATCGCCAACATAGCTTCCATAGCGCATCACGATCCGACCGCCCCACTGTCCCTTAGTACTGACGCCTCGGACGTCGCAGTCGGCGCTGTTTTGCAGCAACGCGTAGCCGACACGTGGCAGCCCTTAGCGTTTTTCTCCAAACGCCTACAACCTACCGAATCTCGCTACAGCACGTTCGGTAGAGAACTACTTGCCGTATATCTAGCGATACGTCACTTTCGACATGTCCTAGAAGGCCGCTCCTTTGTCGTCTTCACTGACCACAAACCCCTGACTTACGTGCTCGGCTCGACTAGCGACCGATACTCTCCTAGAGAGTCGCGCCACCTTGACTACATCGCTCAGTTTACGACCGATATACGGCATGTCTCAGGTGTGCACAACGCCGTCGCCGATGCAATTTCTCGGATCCAAGCCATCTCCGCTGACGCCGGCACTGCCATCGACTTGGCAGCCATGGCCACAGCGCAACTCAACGACCCTGAGGTTGATCTACTACGCAGGTCTCCCTCATTGGATATACGACCCGTTCCGCTGACATCATCAGATGGAACGATACTCTAAGATCTATCTCTGGGCACGCCGCGCCCAGTCGTCCCACGCGAGTTTCGGCAGACCGTGTTCGACGCGTTACACGGCTTGTCTCATCCAGGCGTTCGTGCATCGGTTAAACTCGTAACCGCACGATTCGTTTGGCGCAATGTGAATCAAGACGTCCGTACCTGGGCAGCTGCTTGCCTTCCGTGTCAACGCGCGAATGTGCACAAGCACACATGAAGCCCATTAGGCACGTTTCCGACGCCCGACGCACGTTTTCATCACGTGCACGTCGACCTCGTAGGTCCTCTGTCGCCTTCCAAAGGCTCGGTATATCTACTGACCTGCATCGATCGATTTACTACATGGCCTGAGGCCGTCTTCATCCTAAATTGCTCCTCGGAAACGGTAGCGAAAGCTTTTATGGAGCGCTGGATAGCTAAATACGGCTGTCCAGCCATCGTGATCACCGATCGAGTGTCACATTTCTCGTCGACATTTGACATGTTGCTTAAGGATTTAGGCTGCCGCCACGTCCAGACGACGGCGTATCATCCTGCTGCTAACGGCATGGTGGAGCGTTTTCACCGCCAGTTGAAGGCAGCGCTGCTTGTGCACGCAGGTCCTTCATGGTCTGAAACGCTTCGCCTCGTTCTCCTAGGCTTAAGAAACACGGTTAAAACCGATTTCGACGCCACACCAGCGCAGCTAGCCTACGGTTGCACGCTGCGGTTGACCGGACAGCTGGTAGCACCAGCCCCATGTACTTCCACTTTCGACTACGGACGTTGCACTGACCGATTGGCTCACCAGATGCGTGAGCTACGTCCACCCGCTCCTCGATCGCAGAAGACACCAGTGTACGTGCCCGAGAAGCTGTCTACGTGTTCACACGTCCTTCTTCGCGCGGACGGTGTTCGATGGCCTCTTCAGTCGCCGTACGTAGGACCCTCCAAGGTGCTACATCGTGCGAGTAAGGCGTACACTATTGACCGCGGTGGTCGACACGAAGTCGTCACCATCGACCGTCTGAAACCCGCCTTTATGGAAGAAACTACCTCGCCCACTTCGTCTAGTAGTGCCTCGTGCGACGTCACAACTCACCGTACCAATTTTCCGCATGCTAGTGAAGTCCAACCAGACCACGATCACGGTCTGCAAGCTTCAGCAGTCCCGACATCACCCGAACCTAGTCCGCCGCCTCCCACGACCAATCGCCGTGGTCAGGAGGTACGTAAGCCCGTTCGCTTCTCCGACTATGTACAGTGTAAATGCTTTTAACTTTGTAGATATTGTATATATTTGCCTCATTTTTGGTCGATTAACGTTTTGAAAACAAACAAAAATATCAAAAACCCCCGAAAAACCTTTTTGAAAAAAATATTCGAAAACCAAAAAATATTTAAACACGCAGCTCATTCGTTTGTTCTTTTTGGCGTTTTCTGCGCGTGTTTTTCTATTTTCCCATCTTTACATGCCCCAACCCTCCCCTTCGATCGACTGGCCCACACGAGGAATGTTTTCGAGGACCCTGACGCGAACACTGGTTGTTTCTCCGCGAGACCACCACCACCACCATATTCGTGTCGTGTATGCCGTAGGTTGCAACCCCAAGCGTTCTGCTGTTGGCCCATCTGCAGTCTTTGGGTAGAATGAAGGAACTGATATTGTGGAAGAAAGGTTGATCATTATTACAGCTGAGTTCTGAAGTTGCTAAATATTTCCAAAAGTTTAACATGTACATCGCGATGATAAAACGTCTGAATGAAGTGAATTGCGGAAAAGGTTTGATAACCTTTCTAATTATATGCATGCGACATAAGAAATAAAGTGTAGCAGGAAAGACGTTATGTACAGCGTTCGAAATGACCAGTGAACCAACGGACATGATGTACTTGACGCCAGAAGCACCAGCTACAAACTCCATGGATGTGAGCAGGAAGGTTCTTACCTCAGTCTCCGTCTCCCGCCAGAGCAAAGCAATGACAACCGGCAAACTTTTCGACAGCCATCAACTATAAGCAGTTGGTATAAAAATATCTGTTGCTTAGCGGAGAAAACGCTATCATTATGCAGAAAGTCGGGAAACCGGGAGTATAGTTCCACCATCTCGGGTGTGCAGTAGACGAATTAAATAGTCCGATTGTTTACGTCGCGCAAACACCGGGCTCATCCT